AACTGTTATAAAAATGAATACACTGGAGGTACGGATACTCAAGCAGTGTTCCTTTAAATCACTTGGTCCTAATGCTCTCAAACACTTGTAAATACACAAAAGTACTACTATGGGACTTCACGAAAGAGTGCACCCTGCAGATAATAATGCAGCATGTCACGCTAAAGTCCAAAAGAGACCAGTCGTCTCCTACACACAACCATGTCACTTAGCTTTGAGAAGATACTCAGCAATCCTGGTAAATCCGTGCGCGAAGTATATCCCAGGGTAAATCCGAGCGAGAGCACAACACAGGTAAAATTGTAACCGCAAAGGACCAAAGTGCGGGACAGAGGTCAGGACCGAAGTTATTTTCCTTCCCCCTACCACGAGTACATATAACCCGAAAGAAACCCCCAAGCCAAGCCCCAGGCATGGCGCGAAAGAATAATAGGCGAAAGAAGTGCCTGAAGACCAAGCCGATAGTTCGACATTCCAAACAACCGAGACGAGAGAGGGAAGGGGAAAAACAAAAAAAAGAAGCTGGGTAACGACCGTCACCTCCTTCGGTGGTTATCGCGACAATTTGGAGACGTCGGCAAGAGGAAAGAACATTAGAAAAAGATAAATGCAGGAAAGAATACGGAGAAAATCCGATAACAAACCGTTATAGTAAAAACTGTGCATTTCGGCCATAACATATTTACAATATTCAGGTTTAAAAATAAATGAATAGTTAGTTTGGCTTGGCGACTTCAACGCCATAAAAGTAGTGAGACTTGGTTAGAATTACGTTCATGGTTATAAAAATAACAAAGTTCACATTATCACCACAGTCCTTCTTGACTGATGGCTGAACGTAAAAATAAAATAAATAAATCAATAAGAAAGCCTGCGGGACTCAGTCGCAAGTGAAAAAAAAAATACATCTGCGGGATGTAACCGCACGTGGCACACGGCGGGGACTTCGTCTTTGGCGGCTCGTGATGCGTTGGCCGAGGTTCATGGAGATGACATCATCCTTAGAGTCGGGATGTACGCAGCCGTACACTACAACACCTCCCCCGGGCAGTGCGTCGCCTAAGTAGGGGACGGGTAAGACGAGTATCGCAGGAGAAACTCCTTAAACAAAAGGTGTGTCTGCGAGGTACTCGTTCCATCTCTCGTGAGGTACGATCGAGAGACAGAAGGAAAGGCGCCCAAAGGGTTTCAGGAACCAGAGCAACGGTCGGCTCTAACGAAGTGTAGAGGGCGAAGACCATCACGTCGGCGGACATCTCAGGGTCCATCATCTCGGCAGGATCCATCCTAAGGCGGGTGCGCATGGGGAGCGCGCCCGCTCGTCACGGGGACATCGGAGAGGCGGTCGTACAAAGTACACCCGCACGCCAGTGCAGACCATGGGAAGGCGGGTGCGCATGGGGAGCGCGCCCGCACGCCAGTGCGGAACAGCGCATGGGGGCGCGCCGCACGCCAGTGCGATCCATCAGGCGGGTGCGCATGCACGCCAGCGCGATCATCGGAAGGCGGGTGCGTCAGAGGACGCGCCCGCACGCCAGTACGGAGCATCAGAAGGCGAGTGTGCATGGACCCGCACGCCAGTGCATCGCGGGTGCGCATGAGTGGATCAAAGTGGGTGCGCATGGGGAGCGCGCCCGCACGCCAGGTACGGTCAGAACTGCGGGGTCACATATGAGTGCGCCCGCACACCAGTGCGGAAGATCAGCTGGAGCCGTTATCAGCATGGCACCATCACCTGTGTAAGGAGAGCTGGCGAACGAATCGCCTTAGACCAAGGGTGTGGAACCTTTGGAGCCCTCGAAGCGTCGTCGTCCGTGTCTGCGGACACAAGAGTGTATTAGACATACTGGGTTTATTCTTTGGGCCTGGTGTGTTCTAACACACACTGCATTATGAAGTGCATAAGTAACTCACAACCATAAATGTTATAATGCGAAGCCGACCATCTGGCAGCGCCGTTCGGATCTGGTGGAGGATCTGACTTAAAATTAAGGGTTATGTTACAGGACGGACTGGTAATCAACAGAGGGCAGCATGCATCCCGCTGGGGCTCTGAAAAAAAGAAAGATAATGGTAAGCGTAAGAAAAGGAAAAGTGTCTTGCTCCCTACTCGTCCCAGTCAGACCCAGGGTCCCATGGTTCATCGTCTACCCCCTCCGATGACGGGGCCGAGGATTCCGAATCCAAGAGGTCATCAGCACCGGGATCTTGTAAAGGTCCCATGTCCGATTCCGGGTCCGGAAGGCTGTGCCGTCCAAACGGGGAAAGTCGTCCGGAGGGACGAATTCCGCAATGACCCGAAATGCTTTAAATTTATTTGGGTGCAAGGTGACTTCCTGCCCATCTGAACTCGGTCTCCTCACTACATAAGCCACGGGCCCGAGCTTTTTCAAGACCCGGACTGGCCCTAACCATCGGGGACCCAGGGGTCTGGTTCCGTGACTGGGGTGCAGGATAACGCTGCGATGCACAAAGACCAGATCCCCTTCGTTATACTCCCGTGGTCGACCCCGCCGCCTTCGATCGTGATCGGCGGTCCAACGCTCACGAGCCTTTCGGGCGGCCTCACCAGCGGCCACCCGAGCTGCTCAGAGTTTCGATCTTAATGAGGGCAAGGCCCCTTCGGCATAGATTACGTGGTTTGATCCCACGAGCGGAAAATGACTGTCCCGACCTGTGAGAAGGTACAAAGGGACGTCGTTTACGCTCCGGTGTATGGAGGAATTGATGGCAAACCTCACATACGGTAATAGATCGTCCCAACAATCAGGATCATCCATTTGGAGCGTGCTCAGGGCGTCCTTGACCACCCGATTCACCCTCTCCACCATACCGTTGGCTTGAGGATGGCAGACTGTGGTGAAGAGTGACTTCACCTGGAGGTGATGACAGATATCGGAAAGGAGACGATTGCGTAATTCAAGGCCGTTATCTGATAACAGGGTCCGCGGGGGACCGTACCGAGTAACGAATTCCGCAAGAAACACATCTGCTACGGTTTGGGCGTCCTTCGATGCCAACGGGAACAGCTCGACAAACCGGGTAAGATGGTCAATCAGCACAAGGACGTACTTGTTTCCACGCGCCGAAGGGGTAAGACTGAGGATATCCACGGAGACCAGCTCGAAGGGCTCCGCGACGTCCGGCATGGACTGTAGAGGAGTTCGGGCGATCGCCCCTTTCCTCCGTTGACATGCCGTGCATGATGCGACATATCTCTGGGATGCGGCCAACATCCCGGGAAAGTAAAAATGATCCCTTAGCCGCTGATACGTCCTGTGGACGCCCTGATGTCCGGCGGACGGTACGGCATGGACCGCATCCAAAGCGGCGCCGCACAGCGACCTTGGGATTACGAGCTGAAGCAGAGCTCGTTCATTATTGGACTTGACATGATATAAGACTCGGTCCCGAAGTTCGAATTGGTCTAGGGGAAGAGGGATACGCCTCGGCGGAAGGCGGCCTTCCTCCAGATACTCTATGAGCTGTTGCCAGTGGGGATCATCTCTCTGATGACGCTCCACCAAGTCTGGTTGCAGCAAGGGGCTATCAAGGTCAGCAATGGCTGCGATCTGACGACTGAGCAAGTCAGGGACGTGGTGGACTCGACCCGGCTTATAAAGAAGCTCGAAGTCGTAAAATGTCAGTTCGTGAGCCCATCGCGTCATCCTTACCAAGGCAGTTGGCTTGCAGAAGACTGATACCAACGGCCTGTGATCTGTAAAGATACGGAATCGTCTCCCATAATGGTAAGGGTGATAATGCCTAGTGCTCTCGACAACAGCGAGGGCTTCCAGATCGATGGTCGAGTACCTGGTCTCGGCATCCCTAAGCTTCCGAGAAAAATATGCAACAGGGTGGAGTTCCCCAACCTTATCCAGCTGCCTAAGGCAAGCACCGATCGCCGTGCCCGAAGCATCGGTGTGAAGCTCAAAGGGCTTCTCAAAATTTAGTTGGATCAAGCAAGGCGCGGTGGCAAGCGCCTGCTTAAGCCGTTCAAAAGCCTCCTGCTGAGGTTTGCCCCATGAAAATTTCGTATCCTTTTTCAGGAGCCGAGTCAAAGGAGATGTGACCCTTGCGTAATTGGGCACATGCCTGCGAAAAAAAAAAAAAAAAGTTGCCCCCAAGAACTGGCGAACGTGCCGTTGGTTGCGTGGTGTCTTTATGGCTCGTATCACTGCAAAACACCGTCCGGCGTAATCAAGTGGCCAAGAAAATGAAAAATGTCGGTCGCGAAGCGACGCTTAGAAAGGTTAAGCCTGAACCCTGCTCCAGCGAGCAACTGCAACACGGCATCGAGGTGAGATAGGTGCTGCTCAAACCCTGCACTGTATATTACGACATCGTCAAGATATGCCAGCGCGTGGTGGCCCAACACCGGGTTGAGAACGGCGGCGATAGCCCTCTGAAAAGTTGACGGGGCCGTCATCAATCCAAAGGGCATACGCGAAAATTGAAACAGACGGGCGTCGTCCGAGAAAGCTGTCTTTTCTCGGTCTCTCTCATCGACCTCAACAGCCCAGTATGCGCTTTTAGCGTCGAGGACACAAAACTAAGACACCCGCCAGCTGATCGATGGCAGCATCCATCTTGGGTATGGGATACGCATCTGAAACTGTTTTCGCGTTCAAAGCACGGTAGTCAACGCAAAAGCGTGTCGAACCATCCTTCTTTTTTCACTAGCACAACGGGAGAGAGCCATGGTGAGCAAGAAAGCTCGATCACCCCGTCTGCAAGCATCTTGTCACACTCCGCATGGATGTACTGCCATGTACTCTCCGGGAGGCGCCACTGTTTCACACGGACGGGTTGGTCGTCCGTGGTGTTGATTTTATGCTTCATGTGTGGCACCACACCTGGAGGCAGCCCTTCGTTGAACAGATCCGGGTAATGATCAAGTACCTGGACTGGTTTTTCACGTTGGACTGACGATAGGTGAGCAAGATCCACCCGGGGAACACCAACTGCCCCTGCTGATGAGGGGAGTTCCTCGTTCTCAAAAGAACATACCGGGAAAACCTCAAACTCGTCCGTGGTATAGCCAAAGTCATTGAGTCCGTGTACAAAATCAAACCGGTCCTTGAAGTCTGCCATCAGACTATCCGGTTCGCTTCCATCATCGATGGGAGTCGAAGAAGCCATGTCTAAAGCTCCTCGACTATCCCCGGAGGATGAGCCCACATCTTCCGGGTTGACGCCGGAATCCTGGTCCATGGATTCCGTGTCGTATTCGAGACGATCGCCGTATAGCAGACGACGAATCCTTGCTCGATCTCAACCGGAACTGTCTGATCGTTGACGACCCAAACGTCAACCTCTGGTTGGGAGAGGTCCACCAACGAGCGAGGTACCAGGACCTTGGCGGTGTCGCTCTCAACACAAGCCAGTCCGCCCTTCAAGCCGTTCACGAGGCATCGCACGAATCGCCCCGCCCGAGGGGGACAGGTGACTCTCTGCGCGCATCTCATCGCACCTTCCCGGTCTCCGCCGCTCGCACTACAGCAACGTAGCACGGCCTCCGGTTCGTGGTATGTCAGGATGCCGAGGGACCCGGCACCCGAGAACGAAACCCCGAGTCGGATTCCATTAAAGCTAGCAGAGCTGGCCCCTGAAACAGGGGAGAGGTTCAACTTAAAATTGAACCTCCGCAGCAGGTCCACGCCTATTAGCACCTCTGCTGGAAACCTGGTGTCGTCCACCACGAACACCGAGTGCTGGCTTTTACAGGCTCGGAAAAAAATAAACTCAAGGGTTGCCCTGCCCTTGATGTCCAACGCGGCCCCAGATGCCCCCCTAAGGCCGCGTGGGTGCGGTGAGAGCGGGGTGTTGGAAATCCTCCTGAAACAAGACTCCTTCACCACCGTTGCCTCACTTCCCGAGTCAAGAAAGGCTAAGACCTTAGTCCCAGCAACCACACAATCCAACAGCGTGCCTCAGGAAGCTCCGGTTCCGTGGAACTGTCGCTCCCCTCGGCGCCCGCCATCATCATTGTCCCTGGCAGTGGCTCGTTGTGGTTGCGGTTGTGCCCGAAAAAAGCACCGCCCAGCCACATGCCCTCGGCGGCCACACCGGGTGCACTGGTTACCCTCTCGCACCGCACGACACTCGGAGGCGTCATGCGTGCTCCGTGCTCCTCCTCAGAAACCCCAGTGTTCTGTTGGCTTTGTTAATGATGAAGTCGGTGTGTGTGTTAAAGGTGAGAATGTTGGAAAGATGAATACCGAGGTATTTGTGAGTTGCTGTAGTTGTTAAGGGATGGTTGTGTAAGGTGTAGGTGTAGTGGATAGGTGTGTGTGATCTTGTG